GTAATATCTCTGACCTCTGGGTTTTTTGCTGTGCCCTCAAGACCCTACTGTTCCGACAAGCGGGGCTGTCAAATTGATTGATTTTAAATTGGGTCTTAATTTTGGGTTTTAAAATTCGGCCAAAACTATTTAATGATTTTAATTAATTTTAACTAGGATATTGTATATTTGTATATTTGTATTTTAATTCTGGCTGTACACTGCCCTGAGTCCTTCGGGAGAATGGGTGGTATATAAATAAAATTATGATTATGGTTATTATTATTAATCAGGAATCTGATCAATTTGATGTTTGCTCATATGTTGAGATTCTAAGGCCGAAGTTCAGGCCTCAACAGTCTCCTGAGGCCATGGAAAGTTTCACAGGAAACCACTAGCTTGTCTGTTGCTTGACTATTTTTATAATTTCTATAATTTCTATATTTCTATACTTTATCTGTCGTGTCCCAGCTGCCTCTTATGTAATGAAGCGAAAGCAAAGAAATGTATAAATATCTGCCTTTCACTATGCTCAGGGTTCCTTCCTTCTTAGGAGGGACCCATCTTTATTCAGCTGAAGAAATGCGTTGGCTTATTAACACACACACTTGAACTCTTTTATTTTATTGAGCCACACCTGACAATCTGCATGACACTAACTTGACAGACGTGGGGGCTTTAACTGACCAAATGAGGCCTAAAGCCTCTGCAAGATTTCAAGCACCAGTTATGCCCATGGAAGCCATGAACTCCAAGTAAAGGCAGAAAATACTTTCCACAACCCCTTTGGTGACATCCCAATTGAAGTAGTCCTCACTTACTGACTGCAATTGTGTCACTAAGCATTTTATTTCCAGCTCCTTTCTCCTGGCTTGGAACCGGACCGGATTTTTCTGCCTACAATTTGTTTAGATTTTAATGTGAATGTATTATTTTCTGTCTCTAAGCCGCCCACAGTTATGTCATGGTAAGGTTGGTGGCCAATACATTTTATATCTGTTCCATCCAGAACAAATGGCTGTCCAGTCTCCCCTCAAAACCCTCCAGTGATGGGATCAGCCACAACCTCTGGAGGGAAGCCATTCCCAAAGAACCAACCTCCACTTGAAAGAGGCTTTTTCAAGCTTCCCACCAGCAGAAATTGCAGCCCCCAGTTTCCCAGCCTGCAGCACCAGTGGGCTTCCATTTGGGGAGGGAAGGAACCTGCAGCAGCCGCAGCTGAGAGGCTTCAGCCCAGTTGCTTCTCCGCTTCCAGCCCAAGTTGCTCCCGGACTCTCCTCCCACCTGCTGCCCTCCACTCACCTGGCAGCTGCTGCTTCCACCATGGAAACAGCACAAAAGCCGCTCTGCACACCAACTTTCTCCCATCAGCCATCCGGAAGAGGAAGTTCCTCTGCGCCTCTCCTCTCCTCTCCTCCCAGCCTTTCTAGCAATGCAGTACTCAATGGTTTAAAAACTCCTTTTTTAAGCGCAATCAGGGATGGCACCATTGAATTGATGGCTTTCTAGGCACAGACGTTGCCTGACCGCCATCTAGCGACAGGAGGTGGAAAAACACGCCTGTCCAGTCTCTACCAAGGCTTTTGGGAGATGTTTTCGACTCCTAGCAGCCGACCTTTGCAACTGAGCCAAGTGAAAAAGTGAAACGTGACGCTACTTAGCTTCGTATTTGGTGCCTTTGGGTCAGTCTTGATGCCTGGCCTTTCAGTTTCCTTGGCAAAGGTTTTTGGAAGGTGTTCCCTCCTTTTCCTGCTTCGTAGGCCTGCTTACTTCCCTCCATGTGGGGATAGCTCCATTGAGGATTACACGTTGAGTACGATTTGTCAAGCAGTTAGAAACTCACTTTGTGGTGGTGCTGCCTATCCCACATTTTTCTAGGTTGGAAAGAAGTAGGTAGGTTGTGATCTACTTTATCAAATGCTTTACTGAAATCTAAGTATACTATGTCTATAGCATTTCTCTGGTTCACTAATTTAGCCACTTTGTCAAAGAATGAAATAAAGTTTGTTTGGCATGATCTATTTTTGATCAACCCATGTTGGCTACTGGTTATAACTTGTTTGCTTCTGGGTGTTCACAGATTTGTTGCCTGGATATGTTTTCCAAGATGTTACCAGGTATTAATGTCAGGCTGATCTGTCTGTAATTTCCTGGACGAGTTTATTTTACCTGTTTTGAAGATGGGAACCACATCAGCTCTTTTCCAGTCCTCAGTTACAGGTAATCCTGAATTTACCACCACAATTGAGTCCAAAATTTATGTTCTTAAGTGAGGAATTTGTTAGTGAGTTTTGCCCCATTGTACTACTTTTCTTGCCTCATTTGTTAAGTGAATCCTTGCTATTGTTAAATTAGTAATACGATTATAGCACAGTCCTTAAGTGAATCTGATTTCCCAATTGACTTTGCTTGTCAGTAGGTCACAAAAGAAAATCACATGACTCCGGAACACTGCAACAGTCATAAATGTGAATCAGTTGTCGAACATCCTAATGTAAATGACATGACCATGGGGATGCTACCATGTTTTCCTGAAAATAAGACCCTGTCTTATATTTTTTTGCACCCCGAAATAGGGGCTTGGCCTTGTTTTCGGGGGGGGGGTATTATTATTTTCAGGGTGCAGGAGGCCCTGGGTGGCCTGAGCACTCACAGCAGGGGGTCCGGCAGAGAGAGGGTCCTTCTGCGTGCCGCCATCAAGCCCCTCCCCTCCTGCAAGTGTGTGTGGAACATGAGCAGCCTGAAGGCGCCAAGCCGCGGGAGCACTTGTGTCCGTTTGCTCACGTGCCTCCCAGGCCTCACCACATCGATGTGGCTGACTATCCATCAGGGCTGCGGCTCCCTTTGCCCATCATCGCCTCTCTGCCCCGGCTGCCCACAAAGCAGGGGTTTCCAGCTGGGCTTTTGAAGCTGCAGAGGCAGAGTTTAGAGGAGAGAAAGAAAGACTTCTGCTGCTTTCTTTGCGTGCAACCAGCCAGCAGAAGCAACAGAAGTCTTTCTTTCTCTCCCACAAACTCCGCTTCTGTGGCTTCCAAACTCCAGCCAGGGCAGCGGCTGCTCTGGGAGTGTGCTTCCCGCTCTATGGTGATAGTCACTGGAGGCCACCCCTTTCCCCCTGCTCTTCTCTGATCCAATTGCCCTGTGGTCCCTCCACCCAAGCGGTGACTGATTGGAGTGGCCGCGAGCAAGCCCAGGAAGCCCCTTTGCCTTGGGAGTCACCGGACAGGATGGCAACCAGGCTGGACTCTTCCTGGGGAGGGGAGCTTCGCGGGACCCTTGCCCGCCCTCCCTTCTTCCTGCAGGCCCTGGTTACTCTTCTCTGCTGCCTGGCAGTGAGACGCCAGGCAGCTACGCCGAGAGCAGCCCCAACAAATGCAGCTTGGCTGGCCTGGCCATGGGCAGCACTCCGTGCCCGTGGTTGAGCTTGACCCTCAGTGGGCCAGCCAGAGCCTTCACAGGCGGCAGCAGCAGCAGCAGCAGCAACACCTGCAGTGCCTCAGCCACCACTGGTGAGAGACCTGCACCCAGCTACGGGACGCCCCAGGCCTTCTAGGTGTTGTAGTTCTCCGTGACTTCCGCCCCTGCGCCCCACCATTTAGCCGCTGCCCCACCCCCAACAGAAGTGTGCATGCTGACTTCTGCCCCCCGCACATGGAGAATTCTCTGCTGCCACCGCCCGCATTGCCAAGGAAGCCCCGGGGCGGTGATGCTGGTGCTGGTGCTGCTGTGACAGGCGCTCAGTAGCATGGGCTATCTGGACGCGGCGCCTGGGTGAATGTGGGCGGGCCGCCTCTATGGCGCAGGAGCAGGCGCGTGGTGTATGGTCAGTGCTGGGGCGGCGGGGGGGGGGCACATGAGTTCACAGGGATGTGGCTGTCTTAGGAGGGTTGGGGGTGAGGGACCTGTGTGTGTGAGAGAGAGGGTGGGGTGGGGTGGAGAGAACATTGCTGCCAGCCCTGGATAACTCTCCGAGGTTGGATTGTAGATCTCTGTCTCTCTCTCTCTCTCTCTGTCTCTCTCTCTTTCTCTCTCTCTCTCTCTCACACACTGTTCTTTCTTTGCGATCAGAGCACAGACACCCCTCCAGGATTGCAAGGCTGAAGGCTCCAGATGGAGCATTTTGGAGATGTGTGTCTGTGCTGCGATCCCAAGTAAAGAACAATCGGCAGGAAAAGGGGGAGGAGGCTGGCAGCTGGGAAGGTGCTCTGGAGATCTGGGTTGCTCAGCTGATCAGCAGGCAGCAATTAAGGGGCTGAACCTCCATGAGGTGACCAGGGAAGGGAAGGGCTGCCTCCTGCTTGCCACCCCCAAACCTTCACTGGGGCTTATTTTGGGGGGAGGGTGTATATTTAGGCTTGATAAGGTTTCCAGCACCAAGAAAGCAGCCCTGAGAGGCTACATGTGGCCTGTCAGGCCTTCTTTCCTGTCACCAAAGTGCTTGAGGATTGCGACCCTTTAGGCTTCGGCAGCCCTTTTCAAAAATTCTTTGCCTGTAGGAATAGGATTTCGTAGGGACACGCCTGCTCCTCCCAATCTCTGCTGGTGCCAACAAAAGCGTTTTGCATATTGCTGCCAAAGCCTACATGAAGGCAATCTCCCTGCAGGCTTTGGCAAGGAAACAGCAATTGGAGGGAAAGCCTGAAGGAATGTCTCAATTTGCAGAGAATAGAGGCCTAAAGGGCGAGATCATATAAGATCAGTAACACAAACTCCCATGCTACTTATCTCACATGATCTCACAGTATTTTTTTAACTTCAAATGTTGGCTAAGGGAACACTTGTAACCCAGGGATTACCTGTATTTTAATTTGCATTCGTAACCTGTCATTTACTGTTCTGTTTTTGGTAAGTTGAGTCATGTTTTCTTTTTCGGAAAAAACACAAGTTTCTTCTTTCTACTTTCTTCCCACTTCTTATACTCCTGTGAATTAGGGCGATGTCTGTCTGAGTCTCTTCTGCATAGGATCCACACGCTGCTTACTTGAGAGATGTTTTTTTAAAAAAATTGTACATGGTGGAACCGTCTTGACGATATCTCCGCTTTATAAAGTATAACATAAGTCACTTATGTATTCAATATACATTACTACTAATTATATACACATACTTAACCTCTTATACACACTTACACTTACATACTATATTACATATATTGCCTTTTGTTTCAGTCTATGCCTCCTTGTTCTTACTCATTCTAAATTCTATTCCTTAAGTCTAACCATTGATAAACCTATTCCAAATCTTATAGTATTCTGTCTCTCCTTTATTTTTCAGTTCTAGCTTCAGTATATCACATTCTGCACAATCAAGTATTTTCTTTATTATTTCCCTTTCTTTAAGTATGTTTTCACTCTTCCACTGTTGCGGATAAACTATTCTCGCCGCTGTTATGATATGTAATATTATAGAATTCTTTATTGGCCAATGACACAAAAGGATTTTGTCTTGGTGCATCCATCAAAGAAAGGGACTGAATCACTTGGCATTAAATTCACAGATTTAAACTGAAGAGTGGGGACAGAGAATTAATTGATACAGAACATTTCTATCCCCAGCATTCTAAAATTAATAGGGTTATCAGTGCATGTAACATAGATGTTTGTGCGAGTAAGATTACCAACCTTGCTGTCAAGCAAAATCAAGAATTTAATAGTGAGTGACATACCATGTGCACTAATCAAACAGGTGGCAAGAAAATAGGGGCAGTCAGGAACAACACAGATTACGTAGATAGTAAACACAGGGTCAATCAAAATGGACTCAAATGTCTATACATCAATGCACAGAGTATGAGGAATAAACAGAGTGAATTGGAAATTCAAGTAAATGAAAGCAGATATGATATTGCTGCCATTACGAAAGCGTGGTGGATATGAAACCAACAAATGGAATATACAGCTAGAGGTATTTAAATATTTAAAAGAAATAGACCAAATAAAAGAGGAAGTGGAGTTGCACTATATATAAGAAATAACTACATTTCTACAGAAATAGAGCACAACAATGATGAAAATTATCTTGAATGCATTTGGGTCAATATTAAAGGGGAAAAAATGGCATTGCCGTAGACTATAGGCCACCCAACCAAACAGAGGAAATAGATGAACTTTTTGCTAGTCAGCTAACTAAGGTATGTAGGAAACACATCACAATAGTAATGGGGGAGTTTAACTATCCTGACATCGACTGGGAGACAAAGTCTGCGCCAAGTGGAAGATCCAACAGGTTCCTAACAAACCTAGCAGACAACTTTGTTTCCCAAAAAGTAGAGAAGGGAACAAGGGTATCATCCATATTGGACTTAATTGTCATGAACAGAGATGAAATAATAGAAGGTGTTGAAGCTACAGGAACCTTGGGTGTAAGTGATCATGCAATATTGGAATTCAAGATTATGCAAGCACAAGTAGTAGAACAAAGTCAAACTAGAGTCTTGGACTTTAAGAGAGTTAATTTCAATAAACTTAGAGCTTGGGAAGGAATCCACGGATGAGAATCCTCAAGGGGAAAACAACTCAAGAAGCTTGGGAAATTTTGAAAAGTGAGATTATAAAAGCCCAGTCTAGCCCAATACCAATGAAGAAGAAAAATAACAGCTCTCAAAAGAAACTAGCATGGCTGCACAAAGCATAGATGCAATTTACATAGACCTCCGTAAAACTTTTGATTCAGTGGTACATGACAAATTACTTCTAAAAATGAGCCTGGATAGCTCAACAGACAGAGCTCTGTTTTAACACCGGGTGTCTGCAATTAAAGTAAGATCGAATCTCACCAGGCTCAAGGTTGACTCAGCCTTCCATCCTTTCTAAGGTAGGTAAATTGAGGACCCAGTTTGTGGGGGCAATAAGCTGACTTTGTATAAGTATACAAAAAGTATGAAGGGTATTGCTTAACGCACTGTAAACTGCCCTGAGTCTCCGGACAAGGGCGGCATATAAATCAAATTAAAAAAAAAAAAAAAAACTAAAATCTTATGTCATTTCTGGACTCCTACATAAATGGATAGCTTCCTTCCTGTCAAACAGACAACAAGTGGTCCAAATAGGAAGCACTCTATTAAATCCTGTACCTGTTAACAGTGGTGTTCCTCAATGCAGTGATTTAGGTACAACACTCTTTATACTTCACATAAATGACCTTTTGATCATATTAAAAGCAACTGTGTTTTCTTCGCTGCTGATGTTAAACTATTCAACACCACTGACAATGCAACTACCCTTTAAAAAGACCTTGACTATGTGTCAGATTGGTCTAACAAGTGGCAACTTCAAATCTCAACCAATAAATGCTCTTTCTTGCACATTGGCAAAAAAAATCAAAACATAAAATAGAAATTAGATGGACATGGAAAAGAAAAAAAGAAAACAATTGGTCCTTTGTTGGGAGAAAGTGGCAAGAAGGTGAGAAAGCTACATAACTCGTTTTTTGCATCTGTCTTTACACAAAAGGAAAAAACAGTCCAACCTATCAAAAAGAGCACCGCAAAAAACAGATTAGGAACACAAGTTAAAATAGGGGGGAAATGGTAAGTGAACACCTGTCTACCCTAGATGAGTTCAAATCACCAGGATCGGATGGATTACACCCCAAGGTTCTGAAGGAACTGGCAGATGAGATCTCAGAACCACTGAACTATATCTTTCAAAGATCCTGGAGCACAGGATTTTCCAGCCAGATGACTGGAAAAGAGCTGATGTAGTTCCCATCTTCAAAAAAGGAGAAAAAAAAATAAGATTCAGGAAACTATCAGCCTGACCTCAATACAAGGGAAGATTCTGGAAAAGATAATCAAGCAATGAATCAGCGAACACCTAGAAGCAAACAAAGTAATAATCAAAAGCCAATATGGGTTTGTGAAAAACAGGTCATGCCAGGAGGGCAGAGCTGACGTCACGACGGGATGACGGAAGGTTTCGGAGCTCCGAGACCGCCGTTGATATCTTCACCGCTGGACGGTCCAAATCGGACCCCACTGTCCCGTAGAGACAGTGATAGAGGAGAGAACATCTTGCCGATCCCAGGGACACTGCAAAGTCCCTGGTTGATCCAGGAGAAGCCCTTTTTTCCAGCGCTGAAGAGGCAGCCATTAAGCTGCTGAAGTTGGGAGACCTCCGGAATGGAAGAGAACGAAAGAGAAAGTGTGACAACTTGGTGAGAGATTTTTTAATTAGACTTTAAGAACATTCTGATGTGAAAAGATAATTAAAATTGAAAATAGAAGCGGCGGAATTGAGCCTGAACTTAAGTTAGTTTTCCTGCAATATAATTTATTTCTATTTCTGCATGCTTGTGGAGAGTTTTACTTTTTAAATTTGACTGGACTGGATCAGAAGGGAGATTTTCTTTTTTACCTGTTTAACCACTAAATTCCTGGTCCCTTTTGTGTTTATAAGATTTTGGAATAGTTTTGTTACTTTCCCCTTTGGTTAAACTTTAACTTTTATTTTTCCCCCTCACTTCTTTGGAGATAGAGGGAGAGTGGAAGAAGCAAGAAATACTGCCATCTAGTGGACTGAAACATTATATCTTTTCTTTTTTCCTTTTTTTTCACTGATGAATGTAGCAACTGTGTTATAATTCAAGGTCATTGAGCCAGTTTATAGATAAAACTTAGAAGAGCATCAAAGAGTGTCTACAGGATTGTTTATTCAGGTGCTCTTTGGAGAAACCACTGTTGACAGACGGTTAAAACTTGAAAGGAGAAGATAATAGCGACTCTGGAAAGAGAGCTGTAAAATTGAGTGAGATATATAAAAGAGCTTTTGAATACTACACAGTTGTGGACTTTTATATTAGATAGAAAGCTTTCTCTTTTTTTAAATTCTTTTGCGTGAGTGTTCCTTTTTATTATTCCACTTCTCCCCTTTCTAACTATTTAGAATTCAATGGTGAAATTCAATGGTGAAAAAAGTAAGCTTCTACATTTAGGAAGAAAAACAAAATGCACACGTACAATATATGTGGTACCTCGCTCAACAGTAGTAACTGTGAGAGGGATCTTGGACTCCTAGTGGACAACCATTTAAATATGAGCCAGCAATGTGCATCAGCTGCCAAAAAAGCCAACACAGTTCTAGGCTGCATAAACAGAGGGATAGAATCAAGATCACGTGAAGTGTTAATACCACTTTATAATGCCTTGGTAAGGCCACACTTGGAATACTGCATTCAGTTTTGGTTGCCACGATGTAAAAAAGATGTGGAGACTCTAGAAAGAGTGCAGAGAAGAGCAACAAAGATGATGACGGGACTGGAGGCTAAAACATATGAAGAACGGTTGCAGGAACTGGGTATGTCTAGTTTAATGAAAAGAAGGACTACGGGAGACGTGATAGCAGTGTTCCAATATCTCAGGAGCTGCCACAAAGAAGAGGGAGTCAAACTATTCTCCAAAGCACCTTAGGGTACAACAAGAAGCAATGGGTGGAAACTAATCAAGGAGAGAAGCAACTTAGAACTAAGGAGAAATTTCCTGACAGAACAATTAATCAGTGAAACAACTTGCCTCCAGAAGTTGCGAATGCTCCAACATTGGAAGATTTTAAGAAAATGTTGGATAACCATTTGAGTGACGTGGTGTAGGCTTTCCTGCCTATGGAGGGAGTTGGAGTAGAAGACCTCCAAGGTCCCTTCCAACTCTGTTATTCTATTTTATTAAGTTGTTTAGGAGTCTAGTGGTCCACTTCAATAAACTCAGTTTTGCAGCAATTCTTCTCAGCCCCAAGGAGCCTATAATCCACAAGTCTCAGTCTCTCTTTCTCTCTCTCCCTCTTCCCTCTCTCTCCCTCTATCTCTGTCTCTCCTTCCCTCCACTATTTGATTCCCTCCGGAGAAATTAAGATTTCAAATACAACTAAAGTTTAGCTCTCAGGTACATTCAGAGACTTTTACCTCTTATATCGAAAGAAAGAAAAGTGTGCTACAAGAGCAAATGGGGGTGGGGAAGAGAAACCAGGACATGGAATGCTTGATGGGTACAGAGATAAGACTGGCTCCTGAGGCATCTTCTGCAGGATCACCATCAACCCCGGCAGTGCCCTGGGATAGCTCGCTGAATTAACAAGACGACAGCAGAGAAATACATTTATCTGAAATTTAAATCATAGGGCACATAACAAGAAAATGTGTCAGGAAGAATACATACCTATGTTATGACCTATCACCACTTAGTTTCAATGTGAGGAATTTCAATCACTCACAACGTGACTTCTCCCTGCTGGCACTGGATTTTTTAAACAGCACAACTAATAGTCAGGAATGATGGGAGTGTAGTGCAGTATCCACTGGAGGGCCATCACATCCTTATTACTGAACTACAGTTTTTACAACAACCCCTGAATCTGTCTTCCTTCCTATCATCCTTCCTTCCCTTCCTCAGTCTCTGTCTGTCTCTGTCTGTCCGGGGGGGGGGGGAAGGGAAGGAACCCCTGAACTGGTGCTAGATGGTGGGAATCTGACATCCAGAGGCTGATGAGCCGCACACTGATGATCAGCTGGTCAGCAGAGACCCAAAGACCACTTGGCTGGTGGGGAGGCAGGGCATCACAAGGCAGGCAGCCTGTAGTATCTGCAGGACAAGTGACTGACATCTGGGAGGCGAAAACGAGCCGACGCTGCTGTTGTCAGGGGAGAGTGGGGCAGGGTCACATTGTGGATCCACATCGTAATGGGCTCCAGGAGGAGACCCTGTCTCCCCCATTGTGAAACACGCCCTCCCCTGCCCACCCTCCCCCTTCGCCCTTACCTTTGCGGTTTGCATACCCCCGCGGGCTGGAAGATAAGGGCGATGGCTAGAGAACGGGCGATGCAGGTGACACAGCCAGCCACGCAAGGAATGGCTGATAGGGATGGGGCTAAGGGCAGGGCGGAATCCCACAACTGCGTGGGCCCAATACATTGCTTCAGCAGACCGTAGCCATCCCACAGGCTGTACTTTGAGGATCTGTGTACTAAAAGGTCAGGTCCTGTCCTTAGATTTTGGGTGGGGAAATGTAAATTTTAATCCCATCATTGGCATTCTAGGTGTTTTGTTTGTGAATAGGCTGGCCTACATTTCTTAATGGTCATAAAATATCCATCTCTAAAAACTTCAGGCATCTGCTGGAAACAGTTGTGGCTGCTTTCTGCCTTTGCTAGTATTTTTTTTCTCCATTTCTCCTTTGGGGAAATATAATATTCTGCCTCTTTTTAATATCACCCAAAATATTTCATTCTTTGGGTGGAGGGGGGTGTCTGTCGTGATTACTCCATACAATACACTCACACTTTTTGATCTAACTTTAAAGCAAGGGGAGGATGTTAATTGATGAAATGATCCCAAGAGCTTCAGCAGCATTAAAGGACAGGGTTTCGGTTGGAGGCTTTTAAGAAGAGACTGGACAGTCTCTTGTCTGAAATGGAATAGGGTCTCCTGTCTTGACCGGTGGGTTGGACTAGACCACCTGTAAGGTCGCTTCCAACTCTGATACCGCAATTCAGCCCAAAAATTCACTGTTGCTAAGTGAGACATCTGTTAAGTGAGTTTTGTCCCATTTTACAACTTTTCTTGCCACAGTTGTTAAGTGAATCACTGAAGTTGTTAAATTAGCCACACGGTTGTTAAGCGAATCTAGCTTCCCTGTTGACTTTGTAGGTCAGAAGGTGACAAAAGAGGATCACATGAGTCTGGGACACTGCAACCATCATAATTATGGGTGTTTTGCTAAGCACCTGAATTTTGAACATGTGACCATGGGGTTGCTGCAGTGGTTGTGCGAAAAACAGTCAAGCGAATCACAGTGAAGCCACCCTCATATGAAGGAGAGCCAGTTTTAAATCATGTACCACAAATGGAATAAAATCTGGGGAGAAAAGGAAAATGTAGCAACTGACATGTTTCAATCGAATTGCTTCTTTTGGCTTTTTAACCATGAAGGTCACCTGCAGGGCAGAACAGCCTTTACATCTGAAATTTTACATTGCTTTTCTCACTGCCCTAAACTCCCCCAATATATTTGCTATTCATATGGTTTCTTCCACTTGTGTGCCTCATTCTTGACACAATCTGAACAGACATGCTTGGTGCACTGAATTTCTGGAACTGTAATCGTGTTTCCCCAAAAATAAGCCCCTGTCTTATATTTTTTTGGATCCTGAAATAAGTGCTTGGCCTTATTGCCATGCGCTCAAAAGCACGATTGGGCTTATTATCAGGGGATGTCTTATTTTGGGGGAAACAGGGTAGAAAAAGAAGAACGTTGGAAAAAAGCCCTCATGTCTCTTCTCCGCTTGTTTTTTCCTTATATGAAGAAGCACAATCTCTTTAACTATAGTCTCAGTGCTCCAATCCCCAAGAGATGCTGGCTGGAGAATTCTGAGGCTGAAAATCTTGGGGGCACATAGGGAGAAAAAGGCTGGGACTCCTGGCACATAGCATTTCTATCATCCACCATCACAAAAATGCAAAGAACACTCCCAAAAAGTTTTTTACATAATAGCCAAATTTCTACAAAAATAAATATCCAGCAACTTCTTATGCTGAAAGCAAGATAGCCATTATCAAAGTAATACGTTCCAACTTTTTCTTTCCTCTGCTGCATCTAATACCACTGCATATTTCCCTACAAAAAATCAGGCAAATTCTATTTAATTTAATCAATTTAAATAGTCAATATCTCAGCTGGACTTACAATGCGACACTAGAAATGACATTCAAATGGTTTCTCTCTTGTGTGAATCCTCTGGTGTTTCACCAGGCTGGAATTGTGACTAAAACTTTTACCACAATCAGCACACTCAAAGGGTTTCTCTCCTGTGTGAGTCCTCTGGTGGCCAATGAGTTTGGAATGCTGACGGAAACTTTTCCCACAGTCAGGACATTTAAAGGGTTTTTCTCCTGTGTGAATCCTCTGGTGTTGAACCAGGTTGGAATTCTGACTGAAACTTTTCCCACAGTCAGGACATTCAAAGGGTTTTTCTCCTGTGTGAATACTCTGGTGTTTCACCAGGTTGAAATTCTGACTGAAACTTTTCCCACAGTCAGGACATTCAAAGGGTTTTTCTCCTGTGTGAGTCCTCTGGTGTTTCACCAGGGTGGAATTGTTACTGAAACTTTTACCACAATCAGAACATTCAAACGGTTTCTCTCCCGTGTGAATCCTCTGATGTCGAACCAAGTTGGAATACTGACTGAAACTTTTCCCACAGTCAGGACATTCAAAGGGTTTTTCTCCTGTGTGAATACTCTGGTGTGTTACAAGGCTGGAATTGTGACTGAAACTTTTCCCACAGTCAGGACATTCAAAGGGTTTTTCTCCTGTGTGAGTCCTCTGGTGTTTCACCAGGTTGGAATTGTGACTGAAACTTTTACCACAATCGGAACATTCAAAGGGTTTTTCTCCTGTGTGAATCCTCTGGTGTTGAACCAGGTTGGAATGCCGACGGAAACTTTTCCCACAGTCAGGACATTCAAAGGGTTTTTCTCCTGTGTGAATCCTCTGGTGTTTCACCAGGCTGGAATTGTGACTGAAACTTTTACCACAATCGGAACATTCAAAGTGTTTTTCTCCTGTGTGAATCCTCTGGTGTTGAACCAGGTTGAAATTCTGACTGAAACTTTTCCCACAGTCAGGACATTCAAAGGGTTTTTCTCCTGTGTGAATACTCTGGTGTGTTACAAGGCTGAAATTGGTACTGAAACTTTTCCCACAGTCAGGACATTCAAAGGGTTTTTCTCCTGTGTGAATCCTCTGGTGGTTCACCAGGGTGGAATTGTGACTGAAACTTCTCTCACAGTCAGAACATTTAAAGGGTTTTTCTCCTGTATGAATCCTCTGGTGTGTCATGAGGCTGAAATTGGTACTGAAACTTTTACCACAGTCAGGACATTCAAAGGGTTTTTCTCCTGTGTGAATACTCTGGTGTTTCACCAGGTTGAAATTCTGACTGAAACCTTTCCCACAGTCAGGACATTCAAAGGGTTTTTCTCCTGTGTGAGTCCTCTGGTGTTTCACCAGGCCGGAATTGTGACTGAAACTTTTACCACAATCAGGACACTCAAAGGGTTTCTCTCCTGTGTGAGTCCTCTGGTGGTCGATGAGGTTGGAGTGCTGACGGAAACTTTTCCCACAGTCAGGACATTTAAAGGGTTTTTCTCCTGTGTGAATCCTCTCGTGTCGAACCAGGTTGGAATTCTGACGGAAACTTTTCCCACAGTCAGGACATTCAAAGGGTTTTTCTCCTGTGTGAATCCTCTGGTGTTTCACCAGGCTGGAATTCTGACTGAAACTTTTCCCACAGTCAGGACATTTAAAGGGTTTTTCTCCTGCGTGAATCCTCTCGTGTGTGACCAGGCTGGAATTCTTACTGAAACTTTTCTCAGAACCAGGACATTCTAACGTTTTTTCTCCTGTATGAGTGCTCTGGTGTGAAATGAGGTAAGAATTTTGACTTAAACTATCCTCAGAATTAGGACATTTAAAGGGCTTCTTGCCTGTGTGAATCCTCTGGTGTATCACCAGGTTGGAATTATCGCAGAAACATTTCTCACAATCAGGACATTCAAACAGTTTCTCCTTGGTGTGAGTCCCCGTTGCCATGCTTCCTAAAGAATTTACTGCATTGGGAGCACTTGTAGGGCTTCTCTCCTGTGTGGGTCCTTCCAAGAACCACAATGGAGGTGTTCTGATCAGAGGTTTTGCCACATTTAGACTATTATATGGCTCTTCTCCAGTCGGGATCCTCTCAAGCATAATCAGCTGTGATTTGCAAGTTGTATCTTTCCCACAACATGGACATCTATGTAGCTTTTCCACAACTCATATTCATATTTCTGGACTGACTTGCTTTGGTGTTCAATGTTGCTTGTTATCCTCAGTTGTCCAGAGTGCTCATTGCCATCTTCTTTGTCTATAAGATTCAAATAAAAATGTATCTTTAATTGTGCATGAAATGGCTGCAGAAGATGAGAAAAAAAGAAAAAGGGTTACATTACAATGAAAAAGCAAATATGCCACAGTACTCAAAGAAGCTCTTACATTAATCATGACACATGGAAGACTACCCAGATCCAAGTTTGAATATCCATTCAATGATGAAATTCCCTTGTTGACTGGGTCAATCAAATTCTTAGCAGTGCAAACGGTTGTTTTCACATACAGTCAAGTGAAAAAGAAAATACTTTCTCTTTCATTGAATTTTATGAATTTACTTATCAGATGACGTGGTATTCATCTTAGAACAACCAGCACAAACAGGAACAAAATTGTTGGCTAAAATAGAAGAGTATGGAAGAGTGGCCACCCTCTAGAATCAACTGCCCCCAGAGATAAGGAGAATCCAAGACCTCCGTGCCTTCTGCCGTGCCCTTAAAACTTTCCTTTTCCAACAAGCCGGGCTGGCCTAACAAATCTTTTAAATTATTTTAAATTTGTTTGTCTTTTTAAATTTTGGGCCAAATTGAGATATTTTCTTTTAATCTGTTCTTAATGTATTTATTATGTGTTTTTATTTGGCTGTACACCGCCCTGAGTCCCTAGGAAGAGGGGCGGTATATAAATTTGAAGTAAATAAATAAATAAATAAAATAAAACGTGGCAAGAGATCAAAAAAATGCATTATTTATTTATGTATTGGACTTGTATGCCGCCCTTCTCCCGAAGAACTCAGGGCAGCTCACAACACTAAGAACAGAAAACACAAAAGTTAAAAGACAAATTCAAGCAGAATATCCAATAAATAAGGTTAAACGTGGAAATACAAATTCAAATGTAAGATTTAGGATTTTAAAAAGCTACAAAATCAGTTTAGAGTCAACCCAGGCCCGCCCGTTGGAAGAGCCAGGTCTTCAAGGCCCGACGGAAGGTTCGGAGGTCGGGGATTATCCGGAGTTCCAGGGGTAACATATTCCAGGGGCTCCCACAGAGAAGGCTCTCCCCCTAGGGGTCACCAGTCGACATTGTCTAGCCGAATGTACCCTAAGAAGGCCAACTCTGTGGAAGCGGACCGGGCGATGGAAGGCTACCGGTGGCAGGAAGAAAAAGTGCAGAGGAGAGCAACCAGGATGCTTAGGGGACTGGAGACTAAAACATATGAAGAACGGTTACAGGAACTGGGCATGGCTAGTCTAGTGAAGAAAAGGACCAGGAGAGATGTGATAGCAGTCTTCCAATATTTGAGGGGCTGCTACAGAGAGGAGGGGGTCAAGCTATTTTCCAAAGCACTAAGGAGAGATTCAACCTAGAAATAAGGAGGAACTTTCTAACAGTGAAAACAATCAACCAATGGAACAGCTTGCCTTTGGACATTGTGGCAGCTTCATCACTTGAGACTTTCAAGAAAAGATTGGACATCCATTTGTCAGAAATGGTGTAGGGTCTCCTGCTTGAGTGGGGGGCGGGGGTTGGATTAGATGACCTATAAAGTCCCTTCCAACTCTCTTAATCTGTTAAAAAGATTATTCATAAATGGGAAACATTCAAGACAGTTGCCAATCTTCCCAGGACTGGACATCCAAGAAAATTCACCCCAAGGCAAGACCATGCAATGGCCAGAGAAATTACTAAAAAAACAAAGAGTTATATCACAGACTCTACAGGCTTCAGTTAGCATGTTAAATGTTAAGATTCATAACAGTGCAATTAGAAAAAGACTGGACAAGTATGGTTTGTTTGGAAGGGTTGTGAGGGGAAACCCTCTTCTCTCTAAAAAAGTCATAGCAGCATGGCTGAGGTTTGCAAAGTTGCATCTGAACAAATCACATGACTTCTGGAACACTGTCCTTTGCACAGACCAGACCAAAGTGGTACCAAAGTATTCTAGAGTCAAAACTGAGGTCATCTATCCAATAGCTTTTTAGATCAGGCGCAGGGAAAGGAAGACGTGACCAGCTCGATACATTTAGTAACTTTATTGCAACAGTAACAAGACTGGCTCAGCGCTGCCGGAGCTCTCCTTATTCACTCCGGCAGATGCACCGCCCCTAAGACAGCTATTCAAACTTCCCGCCCGAGGCTGGCAGCCAATCCAGGCGGGTGTCCTTATAAGGACATAACACTCCCCCCCCCAGTTCTTAGTCTGTCCATCAAGCACGTAATCACGCAGGTACGCGGGGCGTCGCGAAGCCCTAGATGACCTGCGCAGTTCCATTCTGGTTTGGCCGTCTTCGTGGACGGAGGGAGCTCCTGCGTCTCCCGGTCCCCTCCCGGGAACCGGGCAGGATCCGATCGTCGAGTGCGTGGGCTGGGTTCCCGCGCCTCCGGCCGGGTCTCGGACCTCCACCCGCTGGCAATGCTGGTTTTCTTCTCTGCCTGGGTTATGGATTACTTGTCGCTGGCTGTCGTCACCGCTCGGTACGGAACTGCTGAACCCCGGTAAGTCTCTAATGTCCCACTTGTCTTTTACCGGTTCAGTGGTGGCTGGTTCCGGTCAGGGGTGCGGGTCTCGCGGCTCCCTCTGGTTCCGATCCCGGTGTCCCTCGGTTGAGACCAGTGCCCTCCCTTGGTGGCTGCCGGGACGTGGTGGCTCTTGTCCGACCTCGCCGGGGTGGAGCTGGCCTCCTCTGCAGGAATGGTGTAGGCCCTCTCCGCTGGGGCGGCGCTCCCCGAGTGGTCGATGCTGTTTGCTGTCGTTCTGCTGTAGTTGGCCGTCCCTGTCGGGTTGGTGCAGGCCTCCCTCGGGTTGGTTTGCGTCTTGTCTGGGGTGTGGTTGGTCTGCTTGGTAGGGCTGGTGTAAGTCGCCCTTCCCAGTGTGTTGGGTGCCGACCTTGCCGGGGCAATGTGGGACTCCCTCTGTGGTCGGGTCCCGGTCTACTGGCTCCCTTTGGTGGGGGTCTCCCTTCTTGGGGTGTCGATGGCTGACCTCCCCGGGGCGTTGTAGGGTGCGGCAGGCCTCAGGGTTCCGGTCTACTGTCCCCCGGTTGCAGATCGGGTGGTTTCTGGGCCCGGGGTATCGACGCCCCCCCTCTCTGGGTTGCTGCGGGGTGCCCGCCGTGGATGGTCCCCGGTCTACTTGCACCACATCTCGATCAGTTTTCACTCTGGGTGACGGTCCAGCCTCGACGGGGTGTGGTGGGCCTACCTCGTCGGGGTGTTTCCGGCCTACCCTGTCTGGCTGAGGCAGGCCTACCTCTTCAGGGTGTTGCTGGCCTACCTCTTCGGGGTGTTGCTGGCCTACCTTGTCAGGGTGTTGCAGGCCTACCTCGTCGGGGTGTTGCAGGCCTACCTCGTCGGGGTGTTGCAGGCCTACCTCGTCGGGGTGTTGCAGGCCTACCTCATCGGGTTGGTTTCCTTCCACTCCCTTCCACCTTTTCCCGAGCTGGTCGATGTGACGTCTACAGACCTGTCCATCTTCCAGCTCTACCCGATAGGACTTCGGGCCGGTTGTGCTCTCGATCTTCCCCTTCAGCCATTTCGGAGAGCCATGAAAATTCAAAGCAAAAACTGGGTCTCCTATGGCGAAGGTGCGAAGTTGGTGGCTGGCGCTTGCGGGTACCTCTGAGTCGTATTGGGGGTGCAGTCTGTCCAGTGGTGACCGGAGTCTTCTGCCCATCAACAGCTCCGCCGGGCATTTTCTTGTGGTGGCATGCGGGGTGATGTGTTGGGTGAGAAGAAAGTTATCGATCCACTCCTGCCAATCACCCGTGCCCATTTTGGTGAGCGCTTCTTTGGTGAGCCTCACCATCCGTTCCGCCTGCCCATTTCCCGCTGGCCTGTACGGTGTTGACAGGGCATGGCGTATGCCCAGTCTGGCCAGGAATGCCTCCATGGCCAAGGACATGAGTTGGGGCCCGTTATCGGAAACCAACGCGTCCGGCAGTCCATGGGTGGCGAAGAGACGGCATAGAGCCCGGATCGTCGCTTCCGTTGTGGTAGATGCCATGGGTACCACCTCGAGCCACTTGGAGAAAGCGTCAATGACGGTGAGTAGGTGGCGCTCTGCATCGGACCCGCGAAGTCGATGTGGATCCTTGACCAGGGGCTGCTGGGGGTCTCCCACTTCGTTGGTTCGGCTTGGGGTGGCACTGAGTGTACTTCTTGGCACGGGTCACATCTGGAGACCCATTCCTCGATGTCTCTGTCCAGTGATGGCCACCAGACGTAACTCCATGCCAGAGCTTTCATGCAGACGATGCCGGGGTGCCCGTTATGCAAGGTTTCTAGCGTTCTTTGTTGCAGAGTGCTGGGAATCAGCACTCTGTCTCCCCATAGTAAACAGCCTCTCATGGTGGACAGCTCCTTTTGCTTTCTGGCAAAGGGGCTGAATTTCTCCTCTGCCTTCTCCATCGGCCACCCTCTGAGGATCCAGGACTTAACTTGGCAGAGTGTGGGGTCCTTTTTTGTGTGGACGGCCACATCTGCGGATGTGACTGGGCAGCTGT